TCTAGGGGCGCCTGGGACTGGACCATGGGGGAGGAAGGCGAACCGGCGGCGGGGGGCTGGGGGTGGGACTGCACCCCTGACGGGGAGCTCACGGAGGAGGGCCGGGAGCCCCCCAGGCTGGGCTGGGACCTGCGCACCTGCTTGGTGAGCAAGGTGGCCTCAGGTGAGAGCGGGCTGGAGATGGAGGAGGGCGGCAGGAAGATGTGAGCCTGCAGGCTGTGCTGGTGAGTCAAGGCAATGGCCACGTTGGTGGTGGCAGCGGCTGTCTGCAAGGGCGCATGCACCAGTGGCTCCCAGATCACCGGCTTGCCACTCAGCTCCCGGCCCATCGCCATCTGCTGCAGGTCCTGGATGTTGTGGGCCATGTCCTGGTCGTGCTTCATGATCTGTTGGATCATTTCGTTGTTCATGGGCCCTGCACTGTGCTCGGCTCGCTTGCGGAGCAAGATGGAGTTCTTCTTCCCTGGGTGGGAGGCAGCAATGTCACCGACCCTGTGAGCGCTGGCTCTTGGGGACGCTGTGGAGGGCAGGGTGGCAGTGGGGAAGGAATGGTAGAACCTCACCAGAGTGTGCTGAAGGGAAGCAAGACCCTGGGGAGGGTCCGGACTGGGGCAGAGGGAGAAGCAGGGACAAAACAGGGGAATCCTGGCTCCAAAGGCTCCAGGTTGGGGTCTGCGGTTCCTGCTTGTCCTCCACAGATGAGGGGGGCAAGGATAAGCAGTTGGCCAATGCCAGACAGTGCAAATATGGGGGGTGGGTGGGTGTGACAGCCCCCCTGGGAAGCCTGTCCTAAGGCATTGCCCTTATCTTGTCTGGGAGGAGAGAGGGATCCAGGAGACAGGCTCAATCCCTGTACTCATCCTCATTGCTGGGGACCCGTGGGGCTGGGGTGCCATGATCCATGGGGTCCATGATGCCATCACCCATGGGGCTGGGGTGCCATGGCCCCTGGGAGCAGGCGCAGAGGTGGCCGTGCTGGGCCCAGGGGCTGTCCCTCACCTATGCGGTCCAGCCGGTCCATGGCCACCGTCTCAAAGGCCCTGCGCATCATGGGGTACTCCTCCAGCACCTCATTGAAATTATCCACCGACAAGGAGTAGAGGCGGCAGTAGGTGTCAGCTCGCACGCTGGCAGTCCGCCTGCCCCGCGTCAGCAGGCAGATTTCTACAGAGAGACAGGTTTGGGTGTCAGGATGATGCAGCCATCAGTCCCCTTCCCAACAACCTCCCCAGAGCCAGAGGCAGGGACAGGACTGCCCAGTATTCCCACACCCTGCACAGGAACACAGCATGACTCAAGAGGAGAGACAGACCCGGGAGCTGGGACAGCCTCGGCCAGGCACAGCTTCTTCCTCCCTCCCCAGACCATGGAGACATCCCTGGGTACAGCCGCTGTGGTCGCCTTGCCTCTTTCTCTCCCAAACCCATGCTTGTAGCCTATAAACTGGCTGAGGTGCTCTGCTCTAAACCACCCTTCTCTGCAGCCAGAGGTGGGATGGGTGGATGTCCCCTCTGCCCAAGCCAGCCAGAATTCAGGGCCAGTCCCTCCGATTCAATCTGCTGGTCAAGGTCCCCCATAAGAACAAGGGTGGTGGTCTTCTGAGCCCCAGAGCCCAGTGTGAGGTGGATGCCCAAGCCTTTGGCACCAGGCAAGAGGAGATGGGCAGAGGGTGAATCAGGCAGAAACATCAGGGATGCCCCAGCTCCTGCCCCCCTGCAGCTCGCTCTCCCTCCGTTCTCCAGGTCCCCCAGGCCAGCCTCACCCCCAAAGTAGGAGCCATCAGACAGCTTTGTCTCCTTGTTGCCCTTGGTGAGGATGCTGACCACCCCGTGCTGGATGAAGTACATCTTTTTGCCCACGGTGCCCTCACGGATGATGAAGTCCCCAGGCTGGAAGACCTCAAAGCGCAGCTTGGTCAACATGGCTGTCACAAAGTTGGGGTCCGCATTGGCAAAGAGGGGCATGTTGGCCACCAGGTTGCGGCAGTTGAAGTTGATGATCTCCTGTAGGGCGAGGAGCAGGTCAGCAGTGACATCGCCAAGCCTGACCCCTGCAAGCACCAGCCCCTCTCCCCCAAGTCACCAGCACTGGGGTGCTTGCCCGTACCTCTTTGAGAGGCTCACTGAGCTCCCCCAGGATGTTCTCCTCATCGAACATCTTGCCCTGGTAGCGGTGCTCGTAGTATTCGTGGATCCGCTGGCGTGTGTCCCCCGGCAGCTTGTGGAATGACATGTACTGCTCCACTTGCTTGTACTGTGGGGACACACAGGGCTGGGCTGAAAAAAGCTGCACCGTGCCAGAGGCCGGCGGCGCTGCCGGCCAACGCTTTCCCTCTTCTTGGCAGTGAGAAGCAGCTGCTACCAGCGCTGGGATGCAGCCACCCCTGCTCCAGGGACCTGTCCCAAAGGCCACCTCTGGGGCAGAGGATGGGACATCCACGCACTCAGGGTGCAGGAGGTCCCAGGGCAGAAGCAAGGGTGGGGGCCTCACTATGCTAGGGTGAACCCCAACATCATGAATGGGGTGTCTCTACCCACATGGGCAGCCTGACCCCAGCCTCACACCCCCCGGGGTGAGTGGCAAGGGCAGAGATCAGGGCAGGAAACTGCAGGGCAGCCCCTGCTGAGCAGGATTTGGAGCTGGACCCACTCCTGCCAGGGTGTCTTCCCCCAGTACCCAGGCACTCACTACCCCACCCCGCTGACCTTCTCCTGGTATTGGCGCCGGGACGAGTCCAGTGACTGGATGAGGGCGGTGGCGTGGCCGATGAACATGGCGTAGCAGGTGGCCCCCACGATCATGCTCAGCATCGTGAGCCAGACATCGGTCATGCCTTCGGGCGCCTGCTGGCCATAGCCGATGCAGAGCATGTGGCTCATGGCCTTGAACAGGGCGTGCGAGTACTGCTTCCCCCAGGAGTCGTTCTGCAGATGAGGGAACAGCAGCGCTGGGGGGTCTGTTGGAAGGACCTGCTGGGCTGAACCCTCCAGTCCCCCCTCCCCAGAGCCAGGGAGTCCAGAGCCCCAGCGAGGAAAAGGTTTCTGATAAGTCCAAGCCCAAAGGGCAGAGCTTTGCTCTGGGAGAAGGCACTGGGGACAGTGCAAAGCCCCGAGCCTGCACCAGCCCCTGCCTGGGGAGGAGGCACGAGCTCCGCTGCCCTGTTCCCTCCTGGCAGAACATGAGGGATTCCCCCGGCTGCTCCAACTCCAGCAGCAGCCAAGGTGGGCTGAGATGAGAAGGTGATGCAGAGTTTCCCTCCATCCCATCTCACTGCAGGGACCGTGACCAGAGAAACTGCACCACGTGGATCCAGGCAGCTCCAGCCTTAGAGCACGAGATGTGCAACCAAATCCTCTCCTCCCCCCGTCCCTGGCAGATGCATGGCCGGTCTCGCCCCTTCCCCGGGCACTCACCACCATGCGGTTGATGGAGACCCAGCAGTCCTCAGGAAAGTCTTGCAGCATGGGCACCAAGAACTGGAGGCAGCCGTCCCAGTGACACAGCAGCAGCATCATGCCGATGAGGTTGAAGATCCTCACCACGGCACTGGCCAGGTCATACGTCATATGGAAGATCTGGGGAAGAGGCAGGAGTGGAGCTACAGAGAAACTCTTTTCCCAGAACAGCCTTCTGAACCCCTGCCCTCCAGCCAGCCATACCCCACGGCTGGGATCCCTGACCTGACCCAAGACCCTGAGCAGTGGCCTCAGCTCCCCAAGCAGTTCTCACCTCCTCCCACTGGTGGATGTAGCGGATGAGGCGGGAGAGGCGCAGCAGGCGCAGAAGGCTGAGGATCTTGGTGAAGCGGACGATGCGCAAGGCCCGGGCTGTCTTGTAGACTTCAGAATCCATCTGGGTCTCCAGGTCAACGATGAGGAAGATGTAATCAACTGGGATGGAGGAGATGAAGTCGACCAGGAACCAGCTCTTCAAGTACTTCATTTTGATGGTGTGAGGGTCAAGGATGATCTCTGTGTTGTCCTCCACCACAATGCCTGTCCGGAAGTTCAGGACCAGGTCAGCCAGGAAGAAAGTGTCCGAAAGCACATTGAAAACGATCCAGGGAGGGGTGTTCTCATCCTTGAAGAAGGTGATCCCCACAGGCAGGATGATCAAATTCCCCACCATCAGGAGCAGCATGATGAGGTCCCAGTAAAACCTGCAGGGAGGGAGCACGGGGGACAGAGCGGGGCAGGGAGAAGTGGGGAGAGGCAGGACACAAGCAATTAGAAAACAAGCCCAGGATCAAAGTTAGAGTCCGACACAATGTGGAGAGCCAGGCGCTCTCACACGCGCCTGCCCACACACATGACTAAGGCCCTTCTGCTCGGCTGGGACACACGCAAGTCGGTGTGCGGGGAGAGGAGCGATTCTGCACCGGCTCTTGAGGCAGAGCAGGGCCAAGGGTCTGGAGGAGCAAACACCACCCTGTGTGTGTAGGATGGGAGGGCTGCAGCTCGAGGAGCTTGGCTGGCTGTCCTCCCTTCTCCTCATAGCATGGCGGTGCACGCACGCGTATGCCCCCACCCCAAACTTGACATCTGCCCTGGGGAAAACTCAGGGAGGACGTGGGCTTTGCTCCCTGGAGCTCCCTGTCATCCGCCGGCTCCCTGCCACCGCCCAGGCTGGCTTAGAAGGAATTAGAATAAGCTTTGCTGGTTATGCAAACCGAGTGCCGAGCTCCTGGGGCAGCCAAGGGACTCGGGGGCCAGGGAGGCAGTCGGGATTCCAGCACTGGCAAGCCAGGCAGCAGCCAAGCAAGGGAAGACAAGAGCCAGCACCACAGGGAAGGCGGGAGGAACACGTCTGGCCCCAAAGGGGCTGCTTGCAAGCCCTGGGCAGGAGCTACATAGCCCAGGGCCTGCAGGCCACCTTAATCCACCTCCTTTTTCAGAGAGTGGACAAGCTTAGAGGCTTGATAAGAAAAGCCAAGAGATGCCGGGCAGCAGTTGATCAGTGTTTGGGTACACCATGAAATTCAGCTTCCCCATTCACATGCAAATAGGGCTGGGATGTTTCCAGTCTTCACACAAACACACGTAAAGCCTGTGACGGCTCCTGTGATGGCTCCTGCAAGGGGCCGGGGGATGCCCAGGCTCTGCACTCAAAGTCTTTATGGGCGCCTGGAAAAGCAAGTGCAGCTCCTGCCTTCGGGTGCCCCCGTTAGCCCCCAGCCCTGGTTGTGGGTATAGACCCGAATCTCCAACAGTGACCTCAGGGCAACTCAGCACCTGGTGGATCCAAACTGGCTTTTGCACATGACAAGAAGCCCGTGGGTGTTTCGTACCCTGTGTTCCCCGTGGGGCACAGGCACTGGGCTTTCTGCAGGCGGTGGGGAAGAGGAGGGAGGAGAAGTCCCGGCACTACGCAAGGCTCCTTCAGCAAGAGAGCACCAGAGCCTGGCAGGGAGCAGGGAGCTGCTCCCCTGGGGCAAGGAGCCTCGCACAAATTAACACCTCCTTGCCCACAGCCCAGGTCTGCTGGGGCAGGCGAGGAGATGCCAGCCGAGGCAGAAGGGGCCTGACCTGGCCGAGCAATCGCCTCCCGCAGCCCCCCACTGCGCCCGGAGAAACGCTGCGCGCCGAGCGGGGAAACCGCCTGCCCCCCGCCTCTGCCTGAGCCCGCCGGGAGCTCTTGATTCAGATTTAGGCTTAAGCTCTTTAGGGCAGGCCCCGTCCTTTACTCTGTGTCAGGCCAAGCGCGCCGGGGCCCTGATCTCCGTGGCCTTTATGTATCCCCATAATGTGATAAACACCGGCGTAATCCCGCCGGCTGTCCACCTGCCAGCTCGCTTCATGTCACCTTCAGCGCAGGGCTGCACAAGCCGCTCCTGCCGAGCTCATGCTCACAAACTTTGGGGCGGCTTCCCTGGGAAAAAGGGGCTCCAAGGGCTCGCGGCCCTCGGTGGCGTGCTGGAGCAGCGTGGAGGAGCTGGCACGCACGGGAGGCTGGGCCCAGCGGCGAGGGGAGCTGGCTACAGGTGCCGGGGACCCGCAGCGAGTGCCGGCCCCGCTCCAGGGTGCCTCGCCAGGCCAGGGACATCGGCCGTGTCACAGCTTTGCTGCGGGAGATGACTGCCTGGCAGCTTCATCCCCCGTAGAGAAAGCCCACCCTATATGACTCAACATCCCCGTGACACCCAGTTCCTCCCACATCATCCGTCCCCGAGCTCTCCCTGTGATCCCAGTGACACCGTGAGCCAGGCCCGGGGCCGGGCAGGGGCTGCGGGCAGCTCGTGGAGCCCCCGTGTCCCTGTGGGGACAGCGCGGCTCCTCACCAGACGCAGAAATTAAAAACAGCGTCGAGAAGGAGGGGGCCAAAGCTTTGAGAGCAGGCAAAGACAGGCAAGCCCCGGCCTCCTCCTTCACGTGCCCTGAGCCGGCTCTGCGGAGACCCCCGGCCCAGCGGGAGCCCCGGGGGGGCGGGG